ATGCTATTCAATTTGTTCACAAGCTGCTTAAGGTCAGAATTCATCTTTAACTTCCCAACTTTTGCCCGTTTCATTAGGATTGATGTGGCGTTTATTCTTTTAATTGTAGTTGAATATGTATATTCTCTTCCTGGTTACATAACAGTGAATTTGTCCATTCTCCTCCTAATTGCATTTAAGTGAATATGCACGTAATTGTTGCCCCAATGGTATTCTAGTTCTTTACCCTGAACAGTATGCTTGAAACTGGGGCTTTGGAGCTGGCTGATGTCAGGAACCATTGAAAGAAGCTCAATGTCCTTTTAAACTCAAACATTTTTTAGCTGGGTTTTGTAGTTCAAAATGTTTTATACTAGTTAACAGGAAATTGGAATTATGTACGATCATTTGTGTTGGAAAGCATTTTATGCTATGTAAACTGATTATTATTTTAGTACAATCACTTGCTAATGAGTTACATCATTGATGTTGGACAATTTTTTTTTGTCAAAACCATAATGATCCTGTTGTAAGATAGACCATGATTTGATTGAAGAGTTGTGCTTTGTCCTTTTTAAAGTGCAGGGATTTGATCGATTAAGTATCCCTCCCACATACTTCTGAATAATCATATTTTTTTCAACTTGTTGAAGCTATGTTTGTGTAGTATGCAAAAACTTTATCAAAACACTCTAAACAAAGTAACCTGCAGTGTTTGTTACAGGCTCCCAAATGGACTCGGGATACATATATATTATATTGCTCTGTAGGATTCTTAGACACCATTTAACGGCCAGGACATTTGACTTTTTGTCATGTCCTATAATTTATTGGCCTACCCATTAATCAAGGTGTTTCACATCCCCAAATATGTCATGGTTTACTTGCCAATATGTTTTGATCATTTTTAATATTGGTATTCCCTTTATAATATATTTCCAACTACATGTGGTGAAGGAAATTTTACTTGACTTCTTGCATGACAACCAATCTCTGTAATAATCATTATTTTTATGAAAGAATTGGGAATTGAAGCCCTATGTGCCGCCCTTTGTTGTCAGTTGCTGCAATTAAATAGTTGAGTAAATTCTAGCTGTGTCTGTGGCCTCTTTCCAAGTACTGATTAGATCCATTGTTTCTTTAGTTCATTTTCTTCGGCCTTTTGTAAGAAATTATTTAAGAGCCTCTCAGATTTTATTATGCACTTGAATACATTTCATGCTAGTAAGTAATACATGCATCTAATAGTTGTTAATTACTATAATTTGTTAGTTTAGTGATTTTTCATATTACATACTTCATTGTTTGTCTTCGCATTATCAGCTGCTTATGTGTCTTGGTCTCTTAGCTTGCCAAAGTCCTACATTATAAGCAATATATGGTTTAATTTCTCAACAACATAGCTCGTAGACACCCCATTTTTGACCGACCTTAAAACCAAAATATTATTGAAACTGGCTTCTCTTCAACACAACAGCACATCATGACTTTTAATTCCCGGTTTTAAATTGTTGTCTTTGGGAAATCACATCTTTATTTGTTGGTCAATCTTCAATTGCTGATTAAATTTCTGAACATATTAAGAGACCAAGCTTGAGGCAGGTATCTGTTATGACCCAGAAGATTTCTGAATCCACCATGATCAGACATACTCTGTCCTTTGTAGTTGCTGAAATCTTATCCATGATTCAAATTTATGCGAGATTGATTCGAATGAGATGATGGACTTGATCTCCAATCAAAAGATTTAGATCTACATGACCTGAAGCTGATCTTCTGAGGCATCTTTGAAATTTTTAACATCTAATACCAATTTATTATTTTTCCTTTTGCCACCTTTTATAAATTTTTAACATCTAATACCAATTTATTATTTTTCCTTTTGCTGCACAGGTGTCTCGCTTTCTTTGCTATTGGTTCAAAGTTGACTTTTAATTTCCTGGCTCAGATGTAAATGTGAGATGATAAATATGGGTCTTTACTAATATTTAAAAATGTTTTGCTATTTATATAAGCAGGATTATCAGCTGGAGTCATAGCAAGAGTTGCTGGGGTGCTGTTATTGGCAGTTTGCATATATGTTGGAGTTTACAAGAAGAAGAAAGTGCAGGACAAAATATTGCTTTCTGCAAGAACTGAACATCAATCAATTCAAGCTGCAAGGGGTAGTACTTCTCCCTGTTTCCTTTATATTTCCCTTTTTTGTCTATTTCTTTAAACATCTATGTTTGAAAGGGTTCTTCATGGATATTCTGCACTACAAATTCCCCTTTTAACTCATTTTACCTCTTGGCTGAAGAATGAAATCCAATTTTGACAAAATGGGAAACCATATGCACATGGTTGTTACATTGTTAAACATCCTATGGTTACTTATTTAGCTTTCTTTTAACACAATAGAGGTTCCTTTCATTCAAAAAAATAATAATAAGGATCGTGATGATATTTGATTAGGCGGAATACGGTTACCATGATTTTTAAGCAGATTCCTCAAATTATTAAACAATTTGGCAGTTAATACTTCTGTTTGAACCTGTTATTTTCTCTGATATAATGTACCAATTTTTCTTGGTATACCTATTTAACTTGTTACTCCAATGTTTCTAATATATCATTGTAACATCTCCATGGATTTGGTCCCAAGATACGTCGTCTTTTCAGATAGAGTTAAAGTAGCATTTGTTATTAGTGATCCTGTTGATTGGGGCAGGGATATTCAGGTATTTTGTCCAATTTTATATTGTATTTATGCACTAGGGTCCGGTTAAATGCATTTTGAAACCTAATGTAGTAGCTTCAGTGATTATAGTGGTGGCCTTAAATTCACAAGAAATTGGTCAATATGTCATGGTTTACTTGCCAATATGTTTTGATCATTTTTAATATTGGTATTCCCTTTATAATATATTTCCAACTACATGTGGTGAAGGAAATTTTACTTGACTTCTTGCATGACAACCAATCTCTGTAATAATCATTATTTTTATGAAAGAATTGGGAATTGAAGCCCTATGTGCCGCCCTTTGTTGTCAGTTGCTGCAATTAAATAGTTGAGTAAATTGTAGCTGTGTCTGTGGCCTCTTTCCAAGTACTGATTAGATCCATTGTTTCTTTAGTTCATTTTCTTCGGCCTTTTGTAAGAAATTATTTAAGAGCCTCTCAGATTTTATTATGCACTTGAATACATTTCATGCTAGTAAGTAATACATGCATCTAATAGTTGTTAATTACTATAATTTGTTAGTTTAGTGATTTTTCATATTACATACTTGTGCTTTGTCAGTTGATCAATCAATTTTGTGCAGACGGTCTGAGGGATGCTCACGGGGTTAATCATGGCTTAAGGTTTTTATACTAGTTTTTCTTTTACTGTTTTGTTCCTTCATCTTATACAAGAATGTAGCATGATTTGGGAAGAAAATGGAAGGAGAGAAGGGGGACACTAGCGCACTTCATTCATCTATATCATGTTTTTTTTTTTCTTCGTAGTGTTGTTTTCTTATGGGGCTGTAGTATGAGAAGTGGCATCCTTCTGTTGTTAAGAAAATGCAACCTCATTGTATATGACACCTCTGAAAGGTGGGTAGAAAATGTAGAATGACTAGGAATGAGAAAAGGGATGAGCTTCCCTGTTATAAATCTATTACACAGAGAGATAGTTGTGTTCTGTAGACTAGCCTAGTGAATTTTCACAGTTCCTTAAAAATGAAAGTATAAACATATTGCATGATCTAAGCTGTATATGCAAACTGTGCTGAAATTTGCCACTGCCTTTTTACTTAGTGTGGCCGTGTGTTGTTAAGAAGTTATCCGTTTACTATGTAAATTTTTGTCTGTCTGTAAATAGTTCCTGTTTGGAGTTAATATCAAGCCATGCTTTGTCAATGAACCAGGTAGGACCTGCTCCTGCTCTAATTAAGGCTGAGGTGCCATGGTCAGCTCGAAGGGGAACCTTCTCTAATAAGGATCGTGTTTTGAAGACAGTGAAAGAGTAATTTATTCTGAAGATATTTGTATGATTTCCTGACACCTGTGCAATCAAGTGATTATCACTTGCTATATTGTATGGATCCTTCTGAATGTTTAGTGTCTATGATGGACACTAATAATATTCCTGCAATTTAGTTAATTTCACTCAGTCATGAACCTTTTTTTTTATATCAATTATTAAGGTTTTGAAATAGTTTATCTCTACTCTCTGTATTTGATATTATAATTTAATTCTGTCTCTGATTTAATTTAGTTAATATTGTTTCTGATTGCAAGAACAAATTGCTGGCTCATGAATGTCAGTTGACAGGCGTTTGCAGCTGAAGAATTTTTTTTCTTGTTTTTAAAGTTAGCATATATGTTGAATGTCATTTCATATCAATTATGCATGCCGACTTCTGTCTTCGATTGCTATTTAGGATACTGAATAAGCCGACTCCAAAGAAATAAAATTAGCACAATTTTGAAAAAAAAGAAAAGAAAAGGGATATGACGGCGTTTCTATAAACGCCTCTTAAACCCTACAAACTAACGATTGTATTTTTAGAAAAAGATATGATGGCGTTTTTTTAAAATGTCGCTAAATATTGTTAGTGACGTCAGCGTGGGTTTTGGAGGACATTTTAAAAACGCCGCCGATACTAATATCACAACTTTTTTAAAACGCCATAAAGCTATAGCGACGGCCGCGTCCTCGGCGTTTGGTTCTAAGCGTCACAAAAAGAATTAGCGGCGTTTTTGACACTTTTAGCGGCGTTTTTTAAACGCCACTAAAAGTCGAATTTCCTGCAGTGGAGAGGCGAGAGAGAGTCGTCGTCGTCGTCGCAGCTCGTCGGCCGATCGTCGCAGATCGTCACTCGTCGCATCGTAGCCCCGCCTCCGCCTCTGCCTCTGCCTTCGCCTCCAGCCCCATTTTTATGGCCCCCTCCAGTTCTGCTTCTCCTTCTTCTCTTCTTCTTCTTCTTCTTCCTCCTTCTCTTCTTCTCCTTCTTCCTCATTCTTCCTTTTCAAATTCGAGCCAAATTCGAGCCCCCGTTTTCGGGCTCTGTACCGGGGCTGCTTTTACGTATTTTTCAATACTAACAACATTTTGAAAGGTTGTTTTTAACATTTTCTAAAATCTTTTAAACTAATGAGGATTTAGTTACAACTTTCGACAAAGGCATCTGAAGAAATACGTGTACAAGATGAAAGAACATAAGCATTTTTTTCCCAAATCTAGAATTAATTAATTTCTTATTTGTTTCAATTGATGTGAGCTTTTTTCATGCTCCAAGCACTCAATTTTGAGATTCTTACACTCCCTCTTCCATTATTGAAAGTATATAAGTGGGCCCAATTAGCAATGGCCAATGTTGGGTAAACCCTGGCAGTGATGCAAGCCTTCCCTTCTCCACCAAAGCTCTCCACTATTGAGTGATCTATCTGCAAAACAAACAAAACAAAACTCTCAAAAAACAAAAAAACAAAAAAGCTAAATGGAAATTTTATGAGTGTATACCACCTACATTCTTAGTTATGATATTTGTGATATTTGATTATCAAGAATACATAGGTTTACGCAAGTTTTAATTTATGAACTTATAATCCATTAAGTCTCTATTAAGATTTTTTAGACCTACAAGTCTTATTAAATTTTTAATAGTCGCAACTGCCCTTTAAATAATAATTGTTCATTATTTATGATTATCTATAAAAGAATATGATAATTTGACATTTATTTTGATTCTCAAAATTTTAAAATATCAACTTTCAAATTGAAAAAATTTAAAAAAAAATTATGTGCAAAAAAAAAAAAAAGGAAAATTGAAAGAACTGAATTATTTTTTTGTTCAAAACTGAAAAATTTGTATCTATAAAGGAGCATGATGATGGAACATTGAGGTGCAAAACTAGAAAAAAAATGAAAAAATAAAAAAATGTTCTCAATTTTAAAATTGAAAAAAACTGATAATATTTTTGATTTTATTGGATAGTTGAATCAAACCAATAAGTAAACAAGGCTGGCCCTGGGCATAGGCCCACCAAGCCATGGCCTAGGGCCCTCAAAATAGACCCAAAAAAGGGTTCCTCCTATTATAGTTTAGTGTAATATATTAGGTATGTTTTAAATTTTAAAAAAAAATTAAAAAATCTCAAATTAACTTAAAATAAATTAACCTATTAAAAAATTGAAAGGCCCATTCAAAATTAAAAAGGGCCCAAAAAAAAAGGTCTTTCCTATCATAGTTTAGTGTAATATATTAGGTATGTTTTAAGTCCAAAAATAATTAAAGAAAGCCCAAGTTAATTTAAAATAAATTGGCCCATTAAAAAATTGAAAGACTCATTCAAAATTGACACAAATCTTTTGTCATTTACTTTTAAAAAAAAAAATTCATTCAATGACAAAAAAAAATGTGAAGGATCTCAAAAATTTATTAGTTAATTATTGGCTTTAGGCCCCAAAAATCTCAAGGCTGAGCCTGTAAGTAAAAGGGCAAAAGCGTTTAATCTCGTGCTCTGTTTTTTTTATTAGTTAGTAAAACGATTATCTGGAACACTACTATGCAAAATTGATAATATTTTTAGTTTTAAAAACTGAAAAAAAAAATTGATAATATTTTCAGTTTTACTAAATAGGAATTATTAGTTCAAAAATTTTTAGATAAAACTTAAGTTATCATAACATTTGTAAATATGACTTTTAAATAATTAACTATTTTATTTTTAATAATTATTTTATTTTATTTTCTTTGAAATGGAACCGACTGGAAAAATTTTTTAAAAAAAAAATTGACATAATTTTAAAAAAAAAATCAGTGAAGATAAAAATTAAATAAATAAATAAAGAAGGCTTTTTTAGGTGTTCCCAACTACCTTTGCATTTTTTTTTTTTTTTTTTAACATGTTGGTTGTTCCCTTGGCATGGAGGAGAAACCAATATTTCATGATTCAGAGTCTAGGGATTATTTGAACGATCTAATAAAATATATTTTTTAATTTTTTATGAAAAAATATATAAAAAAATAAAAAATTAATATAATTAATCTAAAACAAATAAAAAATGTGCTATTGTTGTAATGAAAAAATATATAAAAAAATAAAAAATTGATATAATTAATCTAAAACAAATAAAAAATGTGCTATTGTTGTTCACCCCAAACAAACTCATGATGCGGAGAAATTTGTGGTGGGGTCAGGAGGGGACCTGGGCTGCTATTGTGACCAAGTCATAGTAACGATCTGCTGTGAGTTTGTGGGGATTTTTTCCGAGTCTTTTTTGATGATCTGAATTAAAATATTTTAGGGTTCGTCGAGTATTTCATCCATATAAAAAATCAAGTTAATCAGAAATCCGTAACCCCATGATCAGATTCAAATTGTTTTACAAAAAATATTAAGATAATGTCAACCGTTTATTTTTTTAAAAATAAATGTGCTCTTGTTATGAAGTTCTAGATTTCCAATCAATTTGATTTTTTATATAGATAATCTATTTAACAAATCTTATAATATGAACGGTTTAAATCATCAAAAAAGACTCGAAAAAAACTCCACGGACTCCCAACAAATTGCTGCTGTGACTTGGACACAACAACACCCCTAGGTTCAGGAAAGGAAGCGCCTGTGGTCCGGAAGGGGGCAGTAGTTAGGGATGGCAATTTAAACTCAGCCCGACGGGGACCCGATCCCCCGACCCCGATTAAAACGGGATTTTCCCGAAAATTACTCCCCATAGGGCCGGGGATGGTATTAAAAATCAAATCCCCGACAACTTTCGGGCCGGGGCCGAGGACGGGGATAGGTTCCCCCGTCCCACCCCGCCCCGAATAATCCCTAAATCCCCGTATATATATATATATATGTTGTTTTTCCTATTCACTCATTTACTTCTCTTATCTCTCTCTCTCATCTACCGAGCCAAACCTTTTTCACTAAGATCTCTTCCTCCCTCCTCAACATCACTTGCTGCCATCTCCATCATCACCGCCGACCTCCGGTACACATTTCTCTACCAAGCAAATCAAACCGTGGCGGTGGAGGGGACGAGATCCATGCGATGACGTCCTCTCTCTCTTCTAAACTACTCGCCGTCACTGACGACACAGAACAAGCGACCTCTCATTTTCTACGACGTCGATTGGGTTCACTCCGGTGCCAAGATCCGATCTACTCGCCGTCGCCGACGACACAGAACAATAAGAGACCTCTCTCTCTCTCTCTCTCTTTCTCTTTGGTTTTCAATTTTGTTCTTCAAATCTGGAAGTTTTGGTCAAATCTGTTTTTGATTTTTGATTTTTTATTTTTGATCTGTTTTGATCTGTTGAACCAAGATCCAAGTTTTTTATTTTTATTTTTATTTTTCATTTTCAACGACGTCGATTGGTATTTTTACATCTGTTGAATGTATATGTTAAATCTCGTATATGGTTGTGCTATTGATGATGATGATGAACAGATATGATTTGGTGATTGTTGATGAATTCTTGTAGATCTGGAGCTCAGATTTGATTTTTTTTTTTTTTTTTGGCCGGGGAATTTACGGGGTCGGGGAAACCGTTTGAGGAAACCCGATCCCCGTTAGAGGGTGGGGGTGGGGGCGGCGATAAGTTTCCCGTCGGGGATCGAGGACGGAGAGTGTGATCTCCGGTCCCACCCCACCCCGTTGCCATTCCTAGCAGTAGTTGCTCAGGAGAGAGTAAGGGAAGGTAATAGGAAATAAGGAAGGGAGAAAAGAATGGGTGATTATTTAGTATTTTTGAAGTATGGATATGTGGTGTTCTATAAGGTTTTGATTGATAGAGAGGAGTATGATCCTACGATTTATGTTGGGGATGGGAGAATAACATGGGGCTTAAGGTTCATTTGAAAAGTGGGTTGGTTTTTTGACTTTTTAGCTTTTTGGCAAAAAGCTTTATTTGAGATGAGTTTTTTTTTTTTTTACTTTTGTGAAAGAAAAAATGTAATGATTATGGGTTGGATGTGATGTTATGTCTTATTGGGCTAAAAAATCTATTTTTTTTTTTTTATAACTATTTTAGCCAAAAAGGCCGAGGCTAAAACTTCTCAAATGAGCTCTTAATAATTAGTGAGTAATTTGAAATATGGTCACGTAATATTTTAATTTCCGAAAAATAAGTCTCCTTCCAAATTTAATGGGATCCACATTTGAATGACGTGTCACTATTTAATTTGTTTTCCGTTAGCATCTAGCTTGACCATGAATAATATAATCACTTGATTATGACATGGGGTTTGTTTATAATAATTTAAATAATTATATTTTTTAATATTTTATAAAAAAAATATATAAAAAAAATAGAGAGATGATATAACTTTAAAAAAATAAAAAATAAATAATAATTAAATATACTTTTATAATGTACTTCACATCTTATTGTCGTATTAATTATGACTAATTAAAATATTAGTTACAATCTGTTTCGGAAACTGTAAAGCAACTTTATCATGTAGTGCACGTAAAAAAATGAAAATAAAAATAAAAATAAAAATCTGGCCTTTTTAATATATGTGTGTGTTGTGTGTGAGAGAGAAGATATATTAACCTGGGATCTAGAAATTTTTTTTGTTTTAAACGGTGGACTTTTTGTTAGTTGAATAAGAATTTAATTTAGGTTAGTGGATCTCCATTATTGTGGGACTTATCAATCTCTGATATAATATAATATTCGATTTGATTTCAGTTGAACTAAAAAAAAAAAAAGTATATCCTTATATCACTTAGATTTTTGTTTGTTAGTTAACATAAATGTTATTGAGTTTGGATTATAGATTTTTTAAGAGATTTATGGGGGAAAAAAAAAAAGAATAAAAAGTAAAAGAAATTAAAATTTATTAATTAATCCTTTTTAAAAAAATTCTTAATAAATTTGAGATCTAAACATAACACAAGCCTTCATCATTTGGTGTGAACTACCATCTTTTTCTTGTTCAACTTGGTATGCATTACCTAGAGGCAAACTACTAGATTTACTATATTAATCCACTGCCAAAATGAAAATTAAAAATAAAATAAAATGTTCCAAGCTAGAGAGTTTGGCATTTGCTATCTAATTAAGCCCATCAGCTTTGACCTTTGAACTGAGAATATGATTTTATCGACTCATCAATCTCCTATTTACCAAAGAAAAATCAAAACGTATATAAAAAATATAAATAAAAATAAAAAAATCTTACCAAGCTCCTCAATGACAATTGCTCATGAGTAGGGTCTACTTCCACGAATGCTCCGTAAGTTGTCTTATCAGTGTTTTGATTTAGCGAAGACCTATTAATTATTTAACAAATCTTAAAATATTTAAAATTAGGATAGGCAAGAGAGATAAGAAGAGGGACAGAAAGGATAAGGGATCATTTGTCTCTAAATTACTGTCTTTTTATTCTAATTAACACAATCTCAACTATTGAATTATGTCTGAAGATTCTTAAATAATTTAATAATTCAAAAAAAAAACAAAAATTGGATAGAGAACAAAAGAATTTAAGAACAGAGAATGATTGATAGAGAGAAGAGAGAGAAACCTGCTCTGATCACTGCACATAAGCACCACATGCTTATTGTTTTGAGCTTTGAAAATTCTAAAAAACACAGATGTATGTTCGATAAAGTCCTTTGAAGCCAAAACCTTTAATCCGAATGGTCCAAGCCCACCTTCAACTGATGCATCCATTTGCCTGCACAACAATTGTGGGTTGGTCCAACTTGGATCAATTATTTCTGCCTTTTCAATTTCTAGCACTTCAAATGATATCTCCACATCTGCCTGTAAAAAAGGTGTAGTCAAGAAATTTTTTTTAAAAAAAAAAATTAGAATTATATTAGCATATAATTATAATTATAGGAGTAGCATAAATGAACTACCCTTATTCTCCTTTTTATTATCAATATTATTATTTTTTTCTTTGCTAATAAAAAAAATAAAAAAAGGAAAAAATAATGCAATATATTAATCTTTAGTACAAAACAATACTAAGGAGTTAGATTATGTGATGTTGGAGTTTGAGATTTATCACTATGCTATGTCTCTTCTTATTCCCTTATTTCCCTCTTATCGATTGTAAAAAAATACTAACTACCATTGACTGCATGAACTAAATAGAATGCACCAAATAGGGGGCAATGTGGACCATTTGACAGGGTTGGTGTCCAAATGATAATGACAAATCAAATTTTGGAAAGTTACATTACCAAAATGTCATAATTTGACAATGTTACTTTAATGATGCATTTTTTTTAAAAAAAAAATTTCTTCACAAAATTTAAATATAAACGTCATTTATAAGCCCCATCATGAGAGAGAGAAAAAAAAAATTTTGTTAAGTTTTAATATTTTGTCAAACTGTGTCATTGAAAATAACACACCATTGATGATGAATTTGAAAAACTTATTGCCAAAATTTAAAGTTGGTCTTAAATGAGAGATAATATTGATTCTATAACACCTTATTTAAAACTTTTATCGATTAGTAACACCGTATTAATATTTGTCTATACATTCAAAGAAAAAACTCACTTGTGCTGCTGTGATAGATGAAATTTCAACCGTTGATCCACCTTTCATGAGGAGTGTGCTAGGCAAGTATACTTGGTTTGTGCGTAGCATTTCAATCTCTGAAATTGGCCATTGCACCAATTGCTTTCTAGATTTATCTAGCCAAATCCTCCTTGGAATTGCCTGCAAAAGATATACCAAAAAAAAAAAAACTACTTTTTATTTGAAATAACTTAAAAAGTAATGGATACAAGAAGTCAAGTAAGAGGTGAAAAAGTCTAGAGAAATATTCATAATGACGTATGAGAGTTCTAATAATGTAATTACCTGAACTCCAGACCATCCTTGTTTAACATATTCAGGTTGAGGCAAAGATTCATTAATCCAACCCCACAGGATCCTTAGTTGCTTAACACTGTCATAAAATGTTTTTGAAGCATAAAACTTCCCATAATCATATCTTAACCCTGAATCATTATCCACAGATCCTTTATCCGGGATGTAGATATCCTTGTCTCTGTTATATGTTCCAATAGTGTAGTAATCATGCTTGGTTTCATCCAAGCTTAACTTGAGCACATCTTTAATTCCCAATCCAACCATAGATGTGTCCACACCACTTTGACTATCAGTCGAAACCGGAAAAAAATCAGGACACTCCCACATCCCAGTGTTCTCAGCAAAATGAAGAGGGTGTTGAGATTTAATCCAGTGCACAAAATCCTTACTTGTGTATAGAATTGCTAGTCCACGGCGATTAATTTTGCTTCCAATGATCACCCTCCATCTCCCATCGGGGCCTAACCATGCGGTTGTCGGGTCTCTAAATGAACTTGCATTGATTTTATTCATTGTAGTTGGTGCCATTAGTGGATTAAGCGGTGACTTGACCCATTCAATAAGCAATGGGTCTGAAATGTTTTTGGGCATGGCTAAAACTTGTACTTGGCGGTTTTGTGAATCGACTCCGGTGTGTAAAATGACTGGTTTGCCATCGAGGAGAATGGTGGTGGAGCCCGACCAACAACCATTGATGTCACCACCATGCTGAGATGGGGAGATGGCTGGAGGGTGGGGTGTCCAATTGACAAGATCTAGTGATGTTGAATGAGCCCATACTATGTTACCCCAATCTGCACCATCTGGGTTGTACTGATAGAATATATGGTAAATCCCTTTATATATCATTGGTCCTATGAGAGGGGGGGAAGTTATAGCAAGTTAATAAATCAAAATTGTATCAGAGTAAACAATAGATCATGCATTATTGCTTACCCAATAATTAAAATATGGGAAAATTTTAACTATAGTCTCTTTAATTTTTCTTTTGTGTCAATTTAGCTCTTGGTGTTCCAATTGTATCAATCTTGCCCTTAATTCTTCACAGTGTGTTAATTAGGCTAATTGATAGCATTTATTAGGAAATTGGATAGAATTCAAAGGGAAAATTGTCGATTCAAAAGGAAATAAATCATTTCAAATTGAACCCCAACCCCTCCATTACTTTGAAGAGAGTGAATGAACTCTTTTGTTTATTGATTTTAGTCTAATTCTATAAACGGTGTTATTAATTGGATTAAATTGACACAATGTAAGAAATTTGAGTGTAAAATAATTCAAACTATAAGAACCAAATGGATAGAAAGAGACAAATTACAAAAATTACGAATGTAATTTGCCTTAATAATATTTGCACGTATTTGACTTGCTTATGGAAGAGACTCTTAGTCAAATATGAAAGTGCATGCTGAGAATATGAATTATAAAGTTATCCTTCTCTCTGACCGTTTAAACTTTTAAATGTGTTCGTAGTTAATGCTTCATTAACACAGACATAATGTTTCAGGACTAATAAGAGTAATAGTCACATGATGGGTAAAGCTGACTTGATCAATTTGTAGTTGGCTCAGTTGGGTAGAAAATAAGATTGATCCCATTCATTCTTTTTGGTGCAATCTCATGGTCGGGAACACTAAGTACGCATGTTATAATGATACTTCAAAATTATTGAAATAATTTTTCAATACCCATGTGATAGTGACGCTGTAGGAATACTGAATAAGTTTTCATAAATGCAAGACAGTAAACTTGCATGCCAACCAATTTAAATTATCTTGCTCTTGTAAGTTGTAATGTTCAACTACATTATTACATTGTTCAAAAGCATGAGATAACTATACATACTTGAACTTAGATTTGAGTCCAAAATTTAGTTGTATCAACATGTTTTTGCATACATTTACATGATTCTAGTGAAATAAACTATGTTTTGAAAAGGGCTTTTATTTTTAATTCATTAGTTATCAACATAACCGTGGAAACAACTACAAAAAGACAAATTAAAAGAACTCACCATTGGGATCTACAAATCCAAAGACACCCCCATTTGTCCATTCCACATCCAGAACATGCCAATTGACAGAAACAGGATTAAAACGGTAGAGAGAATGTGAGAGAGATTATCATGAAGAAAGTGTGTAATCATAACAAGAAGAATAAATAAAAGTTGATCAATTGATGTAGTAGAAATGTATTACGGAAGAAGTAGAGAAAAGATTTTGGAGTCGGTTGATTGCCGGGAGTAAAATCTTTGTGTAGGCTCGTTGATTCATAAGTAATACTAAAAATAAAAACTCAATTAATAGTTGATTTTCAAATAATATGTAAGGTTAAAAAGAAAAGTATAAACTTGAAATTGCATTAATTTTCAAAAGCTGATTAGCGCCCTAAGACTTAGGAAAAAATACTTATAATGTAAACAAATCTAACTTACTAAAGAAACAACTGGAATGAGAGTTCCTTAACTAACAATATAGAACTAAGGAAATACAACAAAAATTACTAAAAATGAAAACATTGAAACAAAATAGAGAAATTATTAATTTATACTGGCACAATAATGATAGAATTTACGGAATCGAATTTTAACTTATATCCTAGGAGAAATAGAAGTTGAAAAAACTTTTCAAAAAGCAAAATGTTAAAATTGATGACCTAAATGATGGAATTCACCAAAAATCTGATAGGGTCCAATATCCCACCAAATTTCACGCGGCGTGCCATTTGATTTAAATCAGTGTCTTTTACCTTGTTTGGCAACGTGCTTGTCCATGTGATCTAAGAATTGCAAGGCCAAGCACGCTGCATCTCAATTCTTTTCGAGAAAAGTTAGTGAAGAAGAGGCAATATAGACATACCATTCATCCAGTTCTTGGGTGGTTGGAAGTGATAAGAAGTTCTATATGGTTGGTTTGGTGAAGTTAGTTGAACATGGGAAATGTCAGGTTGGAGAAGAAGATAGCCAAGAATGAGATTGAAGCATGTGAACAATAGACAAAAACTAACTATGGCTACTTTGTGGGATGATGATGATGAATATTGTGCCCTATTTAGGATTGAAGATTTAAAGTTTACCATATTAGGATGGTTATTCAACTTCAAACTTCAAAGACTAGTTGGCTACAAAAAAAAAAAAAAAGTTCCCAAAAGAGAAGGAGCAAGAGATGAAATCTCACATCAATATGAGTTAAGGGTCAACTCTTAGGGATGTTTGTTTGATATATATAGACTTAATGAAGATTGCTCTACAAATATAAACAAATACCTATAACTAATTGCTCTATTTGGTTTTGTTTTAAAATTTATTTTCTAATAATCTGAAAAAAAAATAACCAAAACTATTTTGGGGAAATTTTTTTTTAAAAAATCATCATTTCTCATAGTATTCTTTTTTTTAGAGTGAAAGTAATTTTTTTGGTATTTATTTTAATTGAATTAGTTTATATTTTCAATTTTCTTGTTTATTTTTATGTTTACATTGAAACCAAACCAAACAAAGTCAATTAATTATTTAAATAATTGACAGAACTTAAGCGATGAAATACAGCTTTGAAGAATATGAAGACACATTATTAGTTGCAAAATGGGTATGTCAACTCACTTAAAAGATTATGATATATGGTATACAGCAGAATATTCGTATGGAAAATCAGTTAGAAATCAGTTATAATAATGTCAAAGTAGTACTTTTAAAATTTTGAGCATCTTTATAGATGTTTTCATATAAAATGAAAAGAATATATAACAGAATTTTTTATAATAATTTTGTGCTTTTACTATAATATTGTAATGTATGATATTTTTAAAATATTAGTTACTAATAAGCATATAAATAAAATTTCATACAAAATAATATGATATTAGTTTTTTTTTTTTTTAATTTTCGATACCATATTAATTTTTTTTTTCTTCTTAATAGAGAAGTAACAAGGAAAGCAGACAGATGAAATTTCACATCAATATAAACAAGTTAAGGGTCAACCCTTGGTAATGTTGTTTGATATGTATGACATAATGAAGATTAGTTCACTAGTCAAACCAAAAATAAAAAATATATGGTTAATATATTATCATCATTTTTTCTATTTCATCCCTAAAACTTCTAATTTTAGTTCATATAATCCAAATCAATAACCGTTAAAGTCTAATATAATAAGTAGAAGGGTAATTTTATAATTTGAATAATCTAAATCATACAATCACTTGAATTAGACAACTTACATTCCGCAATCAAATAATCATATTCTTCTTCATCCCTCATTTCAAAATAGTGAATAAAAAAATGATTGTTTAATTTAAGGTTTAAGTTGTTTAAAGTTTGAAATAATTTTTTTGTCCATCAAATTAGGCTTTCACGGTTATTGATTTAGAGAGACAATCTTCAATTAGACCATATGAACTGGAATCATAAAGTTTAAGGATGAAACAGACGAAATTAATAGCTTATGAATGAAATGGGAAAAAAATTAATCAAAAAAAGGAGATAAAAGTGAAATTAATAACCAAAAAATATATAAAATTAATCTTTTTTGTTTTTGGTACTAACCCCCACTGAGATTTCGAAAATTGCAAGGGTGTTTCCTTGCAATATTTTAACCTACTTTCAATAGTTTTTGGTTCCATATGCATTGCTTGTGATTTTCAACCCAATTATTTACTCAATTCATCATTGTCTATTATCCAATTGGAATTTTATTTAACATAAAATAATGAAATATAGCTGTGAAGAACGTGAAGACACATTATTATAATTGCAAATGGGTATATCAATTCACTTAAAAGATTACAAAATATGTGGTATACAAGACAATTTTCATATAGAAAATTACGACGATGAAGGAGTTGAGTATAAGTTTATTTTAGTTTAGTTTAAAAAAATTCAGCTTGTTTGGTTTCGTTTTTTTTTAAACAGTTTTCAGAAAATTTTATTTTCTTATTTTTCGTATTTTTTTGTTTTTAATGAATTTTTTTAATATTTTAAACAATTTTTTTAATTTTTAGATATACCTAACATAAATATATTTAAAAAGTAAAAAATTTGTGAAAAAACCTTTTAAAAATTCACTAAATACCAAAAATACAAAAAAAAAAAAGGAGAATTCAGTACATTTTTTGTATTTTTATGTATTTATTAATTTTTTAAAATATTTTTTTACAAATTTTTTACTTTTTAGATACATCTAAGTAAGGTGCATCTAAAAAACTAAAAAAATGTTTAAAATTTTAAAAATATTCACTAAAAACAAAAAAGCATGAAAAACAAAAAAATTCAAAATTTCAAAAATTTAATCCAGAAAACCCAAACCAAATACACTATAAGTTTTAAAATATATTTAAATTTGATTTGTTTATCTTTTAAATTGATATCAAATTAATAAATTTTAATCAAGTCGAACACAAGTAATGTTTAATAGAACAAAAAAAAAAAAAAAAAACTACTTACTGAAGCAAATGTAAAGCATAGAGTATCCTTTCCAATAAGGTCATTACGAAATTTAAGGACAAAGGTCAGCTTCGATGAGTTCTCTTACAAAGATGACGTGACCTCTCCTGAAGTTTAAAAAAAAAAAAAAACAATAAACTCTACAATTATGACATAATTGCATTGATTTCTTTTTTGATACAGTTAAATAGATCAGAATTCGAAACTAATACAAATGGTGTAAAAATATAAAAATAAACAACGTAAAATACATATTTTTGTGTAAAAGATATGACATTATTATTTTTTCATCTATTTAACTAACAAATTATTGGTGAAAATGACTTTTAAGTGTTATATAAATTAAAATATAGAAGGAGTTTAATGTAATTATTCTAAAATTATAAGACTTACTATATTTTTCTCAAATCTCAAGAATAATTTATCCAAAGAAAAAAGGAACAAAAAATTCAATTCTTAAAGTTTTTCAATGTTTTTTTCATCAAACGAAAGTGGTTATACGCTCTACAACTTGGTGGCTGTTGAATTTATTTATTTTTTACTTGTGTTTTTCACTATTTATTTTTTACATGAGTTTTTCACTATGTATAAAAAAATTAATTAATAATAATAATTAAAGGCAATTTAGATGGGATGTTTGATATGTATGACATAATGAAGATTAGTTCACTAGTCAAACCAAAAATAAAAAATATATGGTTAATATATTATCATCATTTTTTCTATTTCATCCCTAAAACTTCTAATTTTAGTTACGGAGAATCAACGAGTTTTAGGAATCATAATTGGCTTGGCCCGATAATCTTGTTGTTTGGTGTAATTTATCTAAGTTTATTCTAATTTTTGTTATATATATATATATTATTTTGAGAGTTTTTATCATGCAAATATGATTAAAGTTGAAAAATACTGATTATTTAAAAGTTGAGAATAATAGCTTTGAGTTTAACTTTTGATTATTCATTTTTAAATTACAATAAACTGTACTAAACTTGCCTAAATGACTCATCCTACCTAATGTCACCTTTTCCTCCTATAAGTTCCAATTTAAAAAATTATGCCTATATCGTTAACTTTATGTTTTTTTAAATCCTAAAATACCTTATTATGTATTTTCAAGTTAGGGTTGGTGTTTACACTTGCGTTTATTATATTTTTATATAAGTAACTATTCGACAATATTTTTTTACATTTCCGTTAAGAAAAGTTTGAGGGGAAGAGAATTTACCACTCCCTTTTAGGGGCAAGGATAGTTGGTGGACTTAAAATATGCCATCAGAGCGTGGATGAAAAATGAGAAAATTGCAAATAGATAGGATAGTTACAAAATAATTATATTACAAATGAGAATATTTTTTGGTAAAATTCTAACGTACAAAAGAGTTGCATCAAGCACAGGAATAAATTTTCGCTACCATGAAATTGTAATTTTTTTTGCTACTGTTCCATTAGCAATTTTCCCATGAAAAATTATGTCATTAACAGGAATTGAGAACGGTTGTAACTAAAAACTGACCCTCCCCATTGCCATGTCTATGCGAGTAAGAGAATTACTTGGATTAGCCTAATTGCTTTTTAAGTACCGTTTTGGGAACTAAAATAAAAAGTCATGTTTTTGTCAAAATGTCTAAAAACGCAAGTGGCAAAAACGCAACAAAATTGGTTTGGGAAGTGTCAAAAACGCAAATGTGAAATTATAAATTGGAGCCTATGACAAAAAAATAAAAAAATAAATTTCTTATGTTGGGTAAAAATATTTTGATCATTTTAATTTGATTTGACACTATAAACAAATATTAAACAAAAAAGCCAAAAGTCAGCTTTTTATCAACTTCTCAAATCACTTTTCAAAAAGCTAAAAAGCTTAGTAAAAAGCCAAAAGCCAGCTTTTTACCAATTAACTCTATCTTAATCATCATGATTTTTCATATAGCACTCATTTTTGTAGAGAAAAACTTATTCACGGATGAGCCGTGAATAAATAATTTACGGACTGCAACTAATGTTTTGAACTAATGCTTTTGAGTATTCCACATAATTATTTCACCGTTTCATTTTCCAAATTAAAATGAAATTGGAAAAACTTATTAATTGTGTGTAATTATTTTAGTTTTTAAGGATTAATTACATCAAAACCTCTTTAATTATTTGTAAATTCAATTTACTCCCTCATTTATAAGTATCTATAATTTTATTGTTATATAAGAAAATAGTTAGATATTTCATTTTTTTCTGTTAATTCTGTTAAATAAAAATTATGAGAAAGAAATATTTGTAATTTTAAAAATCACAAGAGATAATCCGTATTTTAAATAAATCTGAAAGACTGTATTTGTAATTTATTTATTTTAAATATAACGTACAATATTTGTTGAAAAGGTTCTATAAATAAAATAAAATAAATTTAATGATAAATAATATTTCTATTTAAAAGAAAAGAAAAAAAAACTGGGAGAAATGAATTGACTTGGAACACTTCAACCACAAATTTCTATATGACTTGGTGAATATTTGAATTAATGGGACCAGTGATAGCGAAACTAATATAAGAACTCAGTACAATACAACTTATTACTATTGCAAGATTGGTGAGTTGTCATTCTATTATTGGCACTCCGTAAATTACTTATTCACGGGTCATCCGTAAATTAGGAAAATTATTCAATATTTTCAGAATATTACGTGTCTGTATTTTTTAACTAATTATCATTTAATATATTTTTTCATGATTCTCAATCATCCAACACAATATCTCACATATTTATTTTCTACACCAATCATACTACTATAGAATATCACGTGTTCATATTCTGAAATTACTAAATAATTACCCGTGAATAAGTCTGTCCTTTTTTTTTTGGGAACATGCTTGTTTGTTGTTCACTTTGTAGATTGTTAGGCCCGTGGGATCTATCACAAGTCATGTTTTGATAATCCGAACCATTCAATATGTAGAGTTCGTCGAGTACTTTATACTTGTAAAAAATCACGTTGATCAGATATCGATAACTATGTGGTCGATTCTGATTTTTGTCAATAATTCATTTTGAAAATTATATTTACCGTTGACAGAAATCTGATCCGATCAAGTAGTTATCAATATTTAATTAACGTGTTTTTTTACAGAGATAAATTACTCGACGAGTTCTATACATTTAACAGTTTATATTATCAAAACAGAATATGTGGTGAGGTCCCATAAACCCAACAACATACCTCAATCCAATCTTGAACTGAAAAGAAACCTGACCATTTTTTTATTTTTATTTTTATTTTTTTTTCAACATCCACCAAGAATGAATACATAACAATTGCTTATTGTCATACTTATATTTATTTGAATTTTTCCGTATAAACTTAGATTGAAATTAAATTTAAATATCATTTGATAGGTCGCCAATGCATTAATTAATGACAACTGCTCGACTGAGTTATGGATGAACACATTAAAGACAAATCTTTAACTATTATTATTCAATATTCATTATTAACCTAATCCCACAACAAACACTAACTGGGAAAGAAAGAAAAAAAAAAAATTTACTGCCGTCAACGACAATAGCCCAAACAATCATATACTGCAGATTTATGTAGGATTCATGCAAATATGTTGTATATAATTGTTTTGGGATATTATCATTAAACGTGATGAATAATTTTTTCTTGTCTGCCTTAATTGATTTGGGCTGTTTTCATGCTCCATGCACTCAACTTTGAGATTGTCACACTTTGAGTTCCATTGTTGAAGGTGTACAAATGAGCTCCACCATTGATAGCCATTGTAGGATAAACCCTAGCAGTGATGCAAGCTTTTCCTTCCCCACCAAAGCTCTCCACTATTGAGTGATCTATCTGCATATAGTAATGGAAAAATAACAATTCAGTGTAACTTTTAAAAAATAATTACAAATTAATAATAAATTTTATAAATATTAATAATTAAAATTTTAATTTTTTTTGATGAACCTGGAATAATTTTTTAAAACTATCACTAAATAATAATTCTCCCTATAGTAATTTGTACCTTACACTAACATGTACTTATTAATGTTGTGTTTGGTTGAAGAATTTGATGAGAGATTTAGAAAATAAAATAGAAAATATATATGAAATTTGAATAAAATATACTCATATTTCATATAATTTCACACACTTTTAATCTTTTTCTTTTTAAATCCCCCACACAAACACACCGTAAAATTATGCTAAAAATGTTGGAGAAGAGCGTATAGCGAAGGGATAAGGAAGCCATGTGGTGTAAAGTAGGTGCATCCAAATTTGTGAAATTTGGTCATTTTCGTGCCAACGCATTATGGTTGGTTTTGGGAGTCTACATTTTACAAGTAGTGCTATTTGAATAAGTCAAGAAAATACAGAATTAATCATAAAAAATAATTTTAATTATGCATATTAGATGATGCAATCTACCATTGATAGCCATTGTAGGATAAACCCTAGCAGTGATGCAAGCTTTTCCTTCCCCACCAAAGCTCTCCACTATTGAGTGATCTATCTGCATATAGTAATGGAAAAATAACAATTCAGTGTAACTTTTAAAAAATAATTACAAATTAATAATAAATTTTATAAATATTAATAATTAAAATTTTAATTTTTTTTGATGAACCTGGAATAATTTTTTAAAACTATCACTAAATAATAATTCTCCCTATAGTAATTTGTACCTTACACTAACATGTACTTATTAATGTTGTGTTTGGTTGAAAAATTTGATGAGAGATTTAAAAAATAAAATAGAAAATATATATGAAATTTAAATAAAATATACCTATATTTCATATAATTTCACACACTTTTATCTTTTTCTTTTTAAATCCCCCACACAAACACACTGTAAAATTATGCTAAAAATGTTGGAGAAGAGCGTATTGCGAAGGGATAAGGAAGCCATGTGGTGTAAAGTAGGTGCATCCAAATTTGTGAAATTTGGTCATTTTCGTGCCAACGCATCATGGTTGGTTTTGGGAGTCTACATTTTACAAGTAGTGCTATTTCATTAAGTCAAAAAAATACAGAATTAATCATAAAAAATAATTTTAATTATACATATTAGATGATGCAATCTACCATTAAAGAAATTACTTCGCTTAAATTATTTCACTTATATTTTTTATAATTAATTATGCAGAAAATTTTATCAGTGAATTACACTAACGGTACTTAACTTTTCAATCGTGACACATTTGACCTTGAATTTTGAATTTTGTTCTAAATAAGGACAAATTGAAGATATCATTAGATTTTTCAACGGCAAAATCATCAATTTGATAAAATATAAACTAATTTGATAAAAATAAATATCAAAAAAATATTTTTGAATTTTTAAAAATTAAAACTACCTACTAAAAATAAAATTATGTAAAATTGATTAATCTCTCGGATTTTTTTTTTACTAAATTAATTTTTATTATGTGTTTGGTTGATGATCATCCAATGAGGGATTATTTTTATTAAATTAAATTAGTTTCTATTTTTTCAACAGTCAAATATGGTGACAACCTTGATATCATTATTAAACTAATTCATTAAATCAAAAAATCCAAAACTAAAAACATTTCATATATCAAATATATCGATTACACATTAAAAGTCTAACAACTATCCATTAAATGATCATCATCCAAACACATAATAAAAATCAATTTTGTAAAATAAATAAATAAATAAATGTCTAAAAGATTTTAATTTTACATATTTTATCTTTGGTGATAGAAATAATTTTTAAAAATTTAAAAATATTTTTTTGACATTTATTTTTGTCAAATTAGTTTATACTTTATCAAATTGACAATTTTGGCTTTAAAATTAAGCAATGGTATGTTCAACTGTATTTATTTGGAATAAAATTCAAAATTTAAAATCAAATGTGTCACAATTAAAAAATCAGAGGCCGTGACACGACCCCCAAACTGTAGGGAGTGTTAGTATAATTTATCCAAACTTTATTGATCTCGACAATTAAATCGTCTGCGCCATGCACATCTATAATTTGATAGGTCCCTCTGTCCTAGTGCACTACTAGAGATCTAAAATTTTTGAGACTTGATCTTATTTGAAAAATTGAGATTTTTGGCAATGAATTTTTTTTTTCTTTTTTCTTTATTATTTAACTTTAAGAGAGACGGGTTAAATGATTTATTAGTTAAGCCACTTTTACTGATAATCTTACTATCAAAGAAATCATTTAGTGATCTTGAAGCATTATTTCATACCTCTTGTTACCAAAATGCTTGAACTCAAGATAGGGTTTATTGGCTGCTTTTTGGCAAAAACATTTAAAAATAAATAAATAAATAAAACCTTGTATACAGATATAGGAAAGGTAGTCGTCAAACAGGTAACACTTTTTATTTATTTATATTTTTTTCAGTTCAAAACAAAAAAAATCATCATATCCTAAAAGCTTCATACTTCTAAATTAGCATCTGATTAGACCATATCAAACTTTAAATTGGATGATGAAACTTACCAAGCTCCTTAATGATAGTTTGCCTCTAACAGGGTCAACATCCACAAAAGATCCATAAGTGGTCTTGTCATAATCAAGCTGTGATGAAGACCTGTTCAAACAAACAAAAAAAAATAAAGTAAAATAAATAATATTCTAAAGCTAGGTAGGACTACAAGACATGAAGAGAGAAAGAGAGAGAGAGAGAGAGACCTGCTCTGGTCACCGCACATAAGAACCACAAATTTTTTGTTCTGATCTTTGAAAATTCTAAAGAACACTGCTGTGAACTCTTGCAAGCCCTCTGAAGCCAAAACCATTAACCCAAATGGTCCAACCTCTCCTCCAACTGATGCACCCTTTTGACTACAGAGTAGTTGTGGGTTAGTCCAGCTTGGGTCCAGCAATTCTACTTTGTCTAGCGTTGGCATTTCAAATACAATTTCTACATCTGCCTGTGAGAGTAATGCCACAAAAAATTACAATTTTACACTTTGATATTAACTCATGTGTGACTATGAGTTGTTTTGAAAAAATAGTTAAAAATTGACTTTTTAATTTTTTTTTTTTAAAAATGTACAAAAAATGTGAAAGTTAATATGACTCAAAATGGATTAAAAACTGGAAGAACCATCTTCTCAAAATAGTCATATATCGCTCATACTAATATGTATTCGGATACTATATTTAAAACCATGTAAACAACAAACCTGTGTGCCTGTGACACCAGAAACTTCAACCACCGACCCTCCCTTCAGCATCGTGCTAGGCATGTCAACTTGGTTCTTTCGTAGCTCTTCTATCTCTGCAATCGGCCATTGCATCAATTGTTTTCCAGATTTATCGAGCCAAATTTTCCTTGGAATAGCCTGCCAATGCCAAAAATCATTATAAAAAAATTAGGTTTTTAGGGACTTCAATTTTGATAAATTGTTTTAACAATAAGAATTAATTTAACCTTACTTGAACTCCAGACCATCCCTTCATGATATCAATGGCTGCACTGGTGGACTCATTGATCCACCCCCATAAAACCCTCCGGTTCTTCGTGCTATCAAAGAAAGTCTTCGAAGCATAGAACTTTCCATAATCATATCTCAACCCTAAATTGCTATCCACAGATCCCTTTTCCGGGGTATAAATATCCTTCTCATGATTGTACGTTCCAATAGTATAGTACTCGTGTTTAGTGTCATCCAAGCTTGCCTTTAGTACATGTTTGACGCTAGACCCGAGCATCGATGTGTCAACCCCATTCATGCTATCACTAGAAACCGGATAAAAATCAGGACACTCCCACATTCCAGTGTCCTTAGCAGAATGTAACGGGTGTTGAGCTTTAGTCCAGTGAATAAAATCCTTACTCCTATATAAAATTGCCATACCTCGATGCCGCCTTTTGCTACCAACAATCACTCTCCACCTCCCATCCGGGCCTAGCCAACCAGTGGTTGGGTCTCTGAACGAGCTTGCATTGATTTTATTCATCGGAGTGGGTGCCATTAGTGGATTTTGGGGCGACTTGACCCATTCTAATAGGTATGGGTCCGAAAGATTTTTGGGCATGGCCAAATTTTGGACTTGTTGGTTCTGTGGATTTATCCCGGTATAGAGAATGACCGGTTTGCCTCCGGGGAGGATCGTGGTGGAACCCGACCAACATCCGTTGATATCGGACGGTTGGGACGGGTAGATGGCCGGGTTATGTGGGACCCAGTTGATGAGATCGGTTGATGTTGAATGTGCCCACTCTATATTCCCCCAAACTGCACCATATGGATTGTACTGATAGAACAAATGATAAATTCCCTTGTAAATCAAAGGTCCTGCAAAAAAAAAATAATAATAATAATAATAAAAAATATAAAGTTACACACTTTACAAACATTTGAGTACTTGAAGTTTATAAAGCAGACTAACAAATGAACTCACCATTAGGATCTGAGAATCAAAAAAGGCACCCGTTTGTCCATTTCCACAAACACAAGGCAAACAGAGTCAGAGACATGAAAGGAATTAAAAAAACATGTTTTCAAAAAACAGTTTTGTGAAGCAGAGTAGACCTACCATTCATCCAGTTCTTGGGGGGTTGGAAGTGGAAAGAGGTTTTGTAAGGCTGATTTGAAGGAGTAGAGTCAAATGTTTGGAGGTGTCTGAAGACATGGTGAGAAGCTTCAAGTTCTAAAACACCATAGCCAAGAAACAGAGCAGATAGGCATATTAGCCAAACAGAGGATTTGGCCATGATTGCTTTGTCAATAATGAACATGGCTAGATCATAATATGACAGTTATCAAGGTTATTTATTATTATTTTTTCCTCTCTACGAAATGAAGGAGACAAGAGACCAAAAGGGTATTATCAGAGAAGCATCAAGGAAGATGGGAGGGACGACTTTTTTATCAATTGAAGTCAGTAGTCGAGCCTTTGTTTTGTCATTATTGGCAATGGAATTTTTTATTTTTAGTTTTTAACCCAGGGGTGTGAAACCGGGGCCGGCCTGAGGCGAGGAGAGCAAGGTTCTCGGGCCTTAAATTCTGTCTAAAAAATCTGATTTTCAAATAATTTTTTATCTTAAATTATAAAATGAAATGAAATAAAATGATAATCACTTCAACATAATGTCTATTCTCGAGTTTGGTTTACTAAAAAAAATAAAAAATATTACAAATAAAATCATTATTCACCACTATTTGGGAATTGTTATTCTATAAAGATGTAAGAAATGATCATTTTATTCAATTTAATTTCATTTCAGAGAACCAAACTACATAGTATAGCAGTTTAAAAATTAAGTTTTATAAAAAATAATAAAATAAAATAAAATAAACAATTAAATTGGCGAATTATTTAAAAGTAATGGATAGTTGTTTGCCAAATGTATGAATATTTATAGAATATTATTTGACTATACCAATTACAATTGTCTTTGGAGACATAATTTTTTTAAAAAATGAAATTTATCAAATTTTACAATTCAATTTACTATATCAGAAAAAAAAAATGTGAATAAACTAATAATGTTAACAATAAAAAATATTTAAAATTTATCTTAATAGAAAAATATGTATGAGGGTTAGGCCCCATTTTTTGGGTTCACCTAGTGCTCCAAAAAAATCAAGAACGGCCCTGGTGGCAACTTGGCAAAGCCTTGAAGTATAAATCTTGAGGTCTTACGTTAGACTCTTTCTGGACCCAACCATCTGGGTGACAACATGTATAGTTGTAGAGATGAACCTTCTAGGTCTAGGCGAACTGTACTAAGTGTTAGGAGTGAGGGTTCAAATCCCCGCTTGTGTGTGAGTTTACGACTTACGGTTATATAGTTAAGTGGTTTTACTATATAGCACTATCTAAGGATGACCTTTGAGGCCTCAGTTTCTTACAATCTAACCTCAGAGATTACCCCCTATGTGAATAGGCCTATTTAGAAATAGATTTTTTTTTAATTGACCATTTTTTGTTTAAAATACATTATTCTTAGATTTTTTTTTCAAATAATAACTTTTCATTTATTATCTTCTAATATCTCATAAAGGAAGCATAAAGATTTAAAAAATATAGTGTAAATGACTAAAATTATAGCACAAATATCATTGCCATCTTTTTTTGGTTGGGGATCGAGAAGAAGTATCAAAGACACTAGAAAATTTGGATTTTAAATATTGTAATAATTTGAATAAAATTTGAAAAATGATTCATTTGCACAATTTTTCCCACCTCCCAAATGACGGGACCAAAAAATGAAAAATGATTTATTTGCACAATTTTTCCCAGCTCCCAAATGCCACCAAAAAAAAAATTTAAAAAGTTGACTCATTCTCTAATATTTCTTCAAAACTCTTCTTACATGCTGTCTTGCCACCTTATTCGAGGTAGGGATGATCATTTTTCCCTGTCCCGCTCTGCACCCGTATCCCCCGCTCCGCCTCACACGAATTTTCCCCGCCTCTATAAAGAAGTGGAGTGGGGACGGAACCTCTCCCGTTCCATCCGAATCCCGTCCCGATTATATTTATTAAATATATTTATATATATAATATATAATTTATTTATTTTTCATTACAATAAAATTAAGACACTAAAATATTATACTTAATATTAATTTTTATTCATTTATTTTGTATCTTATATAATATAATTCTCATTAAATATAAATTATTATTCGCAATACACTATATTATTTATAATTTTTATTAATATTTTCATTTTTCAACTTATAAAATTAACCTGACTCCTGCCCTACATTTGCCACACTTCTATCACCCCCCGATTTGCTCTGCCCCCGATATGATATAGGATAGGGGCGGATTTCTATAAATTTGCCTCAAACCCAACCCGTGGCCATCCCTATTTGCGAGATTTTGGAGGCAAAAAATTATGTGGATGTAACACTACTGATAAAAAATTTAAAATAAAGAGAAGAATTAAAAAGAAAGTAGGTAAGAATATTGGATTCAATAACCAAATCATTTTTTTGAAATAGCCCATGACACATGTAATTTTAATAAATCGAAGGTTAAAAAAAAAAAAGACTTGGATATTCCAACTCCAAAATTAATGAATGTTTAGACCATCTCTAATGGTTGTTGCTATAATCCTATTGTTATTGCTATAATTTGGCAATGAATAGTGCTATTTTGTCAAATTATAGCAATGGTGTTCCAATAGTCATTTGCTATTTTGGCAAATCTCAACCAACTTTCTCTCTAGGTTTGTAGGTGTTATATGGATATAGGTTTTTTGTGATTTTATTTTTGTTTATTTTTTGTCTTTTGTGACCTTTTTTTAACTATTTGTAAAAAAAAATTATATATTTATATTATTCCTGACTAGACAAATAAAAAAATTAAAAAATTGGAAAAAAAATTAAATATAATTCACCCCACCCAAAAACATATCACTACATATTTAATAAATTATACATTGTACAAATAATATTACATTCAGTTGTAGAAAATACTGAAAAATAAAAAACAAATTCATTACAAAATAAAAAAATGACATTAGAAATAAAGACTAAATAAATGACATTGCAAAATTTAAAAATACATTATCTCGTAATTATTCATCAAGAGACCAGGGAAATAGTAATTTGGGCTGCTGATATTTGAGGACCACTTGGCGAAAATCTCATTTTTTCGCATTATGTATTACGCTTTCATCTGAGGGTCCAAATGAGAAATGTTCGTAGTCATTATCATATGTTCTTCTTTTTTCATCTCATGTTCGTGTCTTATGATCTCAAAATCATGTTTTTTCATCTCAAGTTCTTTCAGCTCCTGTAGTGCTTGAATCCTTTTTTCTTCTCTTTTATCTTTTTATTTTCCTTCTCAGCAAAGTATTGGTTAAATGTGTCCAATTGTATGCTCATTTTTTGGACTTCAGCTTGAATGACTTGATTTCTTCGAAATAATTCTTTTGCAGCTTTCCTATCCATAGGCCTTTTACCTTTTGCAGAGAAACTGCTCTCACCAACAGTTAGATTGTTACCAACACTTGGACTAGTATCATCTTCAAAAGAAATGCAATTATCCATAGGGGAATCGGGGGCTGAATTAGGGGAAAATGGTGTATGTATCCTTAACTTCACCGTGTTCGTAGGAGTTACATCTTGCCACTTGATATTGTTTTGTAAGATTGGCCAACAATGTTCAAAAGCAAAATGTTTGTTTCATTTTGATGGTATAACAGTTTTGCTTGAAGCATCTATATCAATAAAATATTAAATTAATTGATTAATTAATTTTTATATAAGACAAAATAAAAAGACTAACATAATAAATGAAAATGAAATCTTATTATATCAACTTGTGATACCCCAATTGAATGTAGATTTTCGACTTGCGCTAGACACCCACGAAGCCAACAATGTTCAAAAGCAAAATGTTTGTTTCATTTTGATGGTATAACAGTTTTGCTTGAAGCATCTATATCAATAAAATATTAAATTAATTGATTAATTAATTTTTATATAAGACAAAATAAAAAGACTAACATAATAAATGAAAATGAAATCTTACTATATCAACTTGTGATACCCCAATTGGATGTAGATTTTCGACTTGCGCTAGACACCCACGAAATTTATTGCAACATTTCATAATTACACCCCATCGAGATGAGATAAACACTTGTGTTCTTGAGTGATCATTCTGCAGCGAGCAATAATTTTCAAAAATTCTTCTCCAAAAATGAGTATGCGATTGCGAATTTCTGACAATTAGATCTTCAGTAATGTGACACCAGGCTCTACAAATTGTCACATCTTCTTGAGTAGTGAATGATTTTCCTCTCTTTGTTTTTGATGAACCTTCCATAGTGATTGGCCGAAAAAACTAAAAACAAAATATTTTCGAAAGTGATTTTGAAAGTTTTCTGTCAAATGCAATTGAGATAAAGAGGGGAGAAAAGAAATATAAAATTTGAAATATGTGTTGTGAATGAAATTGAGATTGATGTTTCTATTTATAAAAATGCAAAATATGACCGTTTGGGAAAAAACATGACCATTAATTTATAGCTGGTTTTTTTTTTTTTTCCAAGCAACAAGAGCACAACGACTCTTTTGCCTTCCCAAGATAAATCACCACCGTTCACGTAAATGATTTCCAACAGATGAGATGAACATCTAGAATCATCCAACCCTCTCAATCTCAATCTCACTCTCACTCTGTCTCTATATGTTTTCTCTCTCTTCGATCGGCTATCCAATCATTTTCCTCTCCATCTCCATCACTCTCACCCTTCTCTCTCTCTCTCACTCTCTCACTCTCTCTCACTCTTACTGTCACTGTATCTCTCTTCAATCGGCGACGGTACAAGATCGAAGAGACGATCGGCGATCATTTACTCCACACCTCTTTCTCCCTCTCACTTCTCTCTGTCTCTCTCTCAGTCTTAGAATGGAAGAGGCAATCACCAGATCTACCTTTCTCTCACTGTCACTTTATCTCTCATCTCTTTGTCTTCGATCGGCGACGGTATATGCTCAAAAAGACAATCGCACGACCGTCTACCCCTCACCCCTCTCTCTGTCTCTCACTTCTCTCTGTGTCTCTGTCTCTCTCAATCTTAGAATAGAATACGCGATCACCAGATCTACCTCTCCCTCACTATCACTCTATCTCTCATCTCTCTATCTTTGATCGGCGACGGTACAAGATCGAATAGACGATCGACGACCAGATCTACTTTGAACTACCAAAACCAGATATTTCATATTTTCTATTTTGTTCATTACTTTCAATTTTGTTCATATTTTCAGTTTATGAAATTGCATGTTGAGCCTTTTCTAGAAACTGTTGAATTTTTTTTTTTGTTGAATCTGTTTGAATTGTTTGAATTTGACCAAATTAAAAAAAAGATTTGTTGCATTTGTTTGAATTTGCTGATTTCAGATAAACTGGTGAATTCTGAAACATGGTAAAATGGTGAATTCTGATTTCGGGTAAAATGGTAAAATATTGCATTATTCAA